TTTAAATTTTTTTGAATAATTTTGCAAGTGTTCATACCACAGAATCTACCATACATAATTTTAAACAAATAGATAGGTGAAGTAATTCAAACAAAATGATTTTGAACTTTATTACTCTACTCTGTCGAACGCCTATTGTATAGTTATATGTATATCATATATTATGTTTTTATGCAGTCTCCCTGAATCACTTGTACCAGGCTATGGAAATTCATGTTTCCAATTTTGTATTTATTTTTCTTATGATACAGTATACTGTAAATTTGAATAATATTTGTGTGCTTATAGTGAGTTTATTTTTAGGAGAGTTTGTTGCGAGGCAGCATATATTTTGATATTTCAAAATATTACTGTATATTGGTATGTTATACTTATAGGGGTCGGGTGTGATATACTTTTTCAGGTATTTTGTGTCTGATGTATGTAAGAGCTTTATTATTGGGTTTCTTGGTGAGACCTTATATCTTATGTGTCCTATAACCCTCTGTAATTGCGGATTATTGCATACATTCTAATTGTATTTTTTTTGTAGGAGTCCGAAGATGCAAATGATACAATTTCAAACTTATCACAACCCATATTGTGGCCGTTGGCAGCGAACTAGAATACGACTAGAAACTGTCAATCATACGTTATCGAGGGAAAGGATGAAAGTTCCATAACAAGCAACAGTTGTTTTGATGCAATTATCGCCTTATTGGCAAGTTTTTACATCTTCAATATTGAGAGTACTGCCACACGATAGCATCTTGTCTGCCTTGCAGACTATAGTAGTGCATGGGCAACACAGAAAATGGCATCCAACTGCCAATGAGGGTCACAGCCCTCTTCAATGACTTGTCATGACTCATGAATATTTGTACTACAGTAATTTTACAGTTTTTGAGAGTTTTGTTGACATATGCTAACCCAAGTTAATGTTATTGATGGAATGTGTGTATTGTCTCGCATCTCACCGAACTGTGGTAATGTATTAGAAATTATTCGTATTGCGTTCACGTTAACAACCGCGCCTGCTATTGCTATCACAAGTTGATTGCTCTTTAAAATTAGAATTGTAAACTTTCGGAGCCATATGGCATATATGTACGAATCTTTTGATGGTTCCCACATTTCGGTGAGATCCATAATACTGACTACTGTGCATGTATATTGTAATTTTAGTTATAGTATTGTGTTTATAATACAGAAATTGGAACATTATTTATCTCAACTTATATTACAATAATTCATTCCAATCTTGGTCTGTTGGAAAAATTGTAATAATTTAATCAAGACCAAATAAACCCCAATATTTTTGCCTGATTCATTATATACATGTAGAATACGTCTACATGCAAGAGTGCAGCCAAATCCACATGACTTTAAATCCTATATAAAACGGCACCACCAAAAAGCTATATCAGCTCAATCGGTTCTAAAGCACCTCTTCATTGGGGCTGAGACTGCTCTCCTCTGAAAGGGCCAAAACAGCCCCGGTTAACAAAGTAGGGGTTAAATTGGCTTTTCTTTTGGATCTATAATGGCTCTGAAATTGGACCAAATTGACCCTTTGGGTGCTACAAACTACACCATGAAAAAAGCTATATTAGCTCCTTTGGCTCTAAAGCAGCTCTTCTTTGAGGCTGAAACTGTGCTCTTCTGGGAGGGCCAAAATAGCTCTGGTTAAAAAAGTAGGGGTTAAATTGGCTTTTCTTGTGGTCTATAATGGCTCAGAAATAGAACCATATTGGCCCCTTGGGTGCTAAAAAACTACACCATTAGAAAAGCTATATCGGCTCCTTCGGTTCTAAAGCAGCTCTTCATTGGGGCTGAAACTACTCTGTAGCTCAGTAGCCAAAACAGCTCCGGTTAGCGAGCCAAATCGACGCTTTTTGGGGTTCATTATGACCACAAATGGGAGCCAAATTAACTCCTCGAATTGCCAAAATAGCCCCCTAATTTTCTGAATTGGCCCCTATTGAAAGTTGAAATAGCCCCTGCTTTTGCCAAAACAGCTCCTACTAAAAGCTGAAACAGCCCTTACACGGGAAGGGCCAAATCAACCCTTAGGGGCCGCATTGTTATAGGTGCCATTTTGACCCCAAAAAAAGATCTATTTTGCGGTCACCGTTTTGGCCCCATTTTTGGGGTTGTTTCAGCCCTTTTTAATTTACAGTGTATATATTCTGAAAATACACCTGTAAAACCACCGAACCACTCGCTACAAAATTAATATCCCCATTACTTCCCGTTCAACACATTTGTAATAAATTTAATAATAACAAGATAAGACAACTAAAGAGGGATCCAGTACACAAAAAGGTTATGGAAACCGGGGATGTCTTTGTTAACGATGATAACTTCGACCACATGCAGGGAAGCGTTAGAGGTCGCTATTCACAAGAGAACATTCCTTTTGAAAAGCCTTTTCAGAAACACACGGTATCGTAGTGATATTGACTCTTAATGGCTGTTTGTGTTTGGTCCCGCACGACCCTCCCGCGTGACTCGCCAGCCTGATTAATGTACAATTATTTTGTACGTTAATATATACATACACCCGCAAAGCCACGCGCCTGATTTTAAGGCATACACCTGCGTTATAAATAATCCCTATCTATCCATTGGGATACACTCAGTTATGTAAATTCGTACTGCCTTAATCTCCTTAATTACCTACACGCCTCCTAATGACTAGCAACCCATAACAACGCAACATTTGTAAAGTTTAAAACATGCTTATTGATACAAATAACAGACGATAGTGTCAAAAATATTATATTGTGACGAATAGATTCCTCGCTATCATTTTGTACACATACCAAAGCTAAATAGGCAATGATACAACCAAAGTTTGTTACATTGATCTCTCTGTAGATTTGGTAAAGGTTTAGATCACGAACATTTACTGCACGATATAGATCTCGATGGCGGTCGAGAATTGTATTTATATGAAACGATAAAGTTTGCTTATCAATATCAATTCCATTTCGTTTCAACTTATCAAAAATTATATCTATGTTATCCATGATACTCTCACCACAACGATTGAACAACAAATGAGACACACAGTATTTATTTCAGTAAATATATGCAAATTTACACTACTTAACTAGCAACGTATTATTATTACAAGAGGTCTATTTTATCAAGTTCACTTGTTAAACCAAATCTACGAAATTCATCATAGGCCTCCTTAGTGTTAGATTTAGAACTATTAAATGTCTCTCCTGTTTCTTCGATCATGTACTGGTATTGTAGTGGATTACTGAAGAGCACGATGACAGTGTTGGTCACCCGAGGGCCTTGTTGCTTCCATTCGAAGAAACCACAAGAGTCGTCCTTCGGACAGCAGTAAAACAGACGGTTTTGATTCGGACCATCTTTCTTGACTTTTCGTTCACAGCACACCATTCCATGTTGACATAACGGTCTTGGACCTTCGAACACCTCTCCCCATTGCCAGAACTTGCAGGGATTCTTTCGCTCAGAACATACGAAGAAGGGTCGTCAGTAGTTATCTTTCATTGTGTCTTTGACCACACATAACTTGGCATATTTCTGATGTGTAGGACATACGGGGTGTATAGAAACACTTGCACGAAACGCAGCTACAGCTCTCGTATACATATAACAATTTTCGTCCGGGCAAAAGAACTCACAGCTTGGTTTTCCCCACAAAACCAAAATGTACCATTGTTTGTAGTTGTAGAGGCAGCAGCTTTTCCGTGTAGACACTCCATGACTGATGTAGAACTAATGCAAAACTATGCTTGTTACAAGACGCTTGTCGATTTTATACAGACGCTCGTTAAATCAAACAACCAATCATAGTAAGCCAACATTAATCCCTCCATTGTATCATAAACGTGGGGGACGCTAAAAAATGCGTGGTCAGCAAGTTTCACCTGATCGTGTTTAAGCTCGCCCGCGCGACGTCATTACTTGCCTGATCCTACCCGCGTGACGTCATTGCATGTAATTATGACGTATGCTAATGATGATGCGCCGCCCCACGCCGCCCCGCGCCGCCCCACGCCGCCCCGCGCCGCCTCGCGGCGCCCCGCGCCGCCCCAAAAAT